CTCCAGTGAACTGCGTGACCTGATGACGAAGCGAGACCAGGCTAAAAAGGACTGGCTGAACCTCCGCACTGCAGATCGACACGTGACCTTCAGAAGACTTCACAACAGTGTTAAAAGCAAATTAGCACGTGCACGGAAAGATTTTCTATGTAACGAATTAATGCGCAAGAACTTCAGTGGCTTTTGGAAGAAGTTTAATCAGTATGTAAAAAACACGAGCGGCAACTGTCTAGGATAACAACCTTGATTCAAAACAGGCCGACATGTTTAATGCGTATTTTGCGAATGTAGGCTCTAACATTGCAGCAGAACTCTTACCTCGCAGACATGATTACACGTATGTCGATCCCCAGATACGTCCCCCTGTGGTGTGTGCCACAAGCTTTGAGCTTCAGCCCGCTACTCTACCTGAGCTGTCAACAGCGGTGCGTCTGATGAGCAATTCGAAAGCTGTCGGACTGGATGGAGTCCCCATCCTGGCCATTCGTCGTTGTTTTGCTGTGATCGGTCCGCTGCTCCTTCATATCATTAACACTTCAATATCAAGCGGCATATTTCCAGAAAAGTGGAAAATAGCGTGTGTAGTTCCTTTACATAAGAATGGTGATCACAGTCGCGCTAGCAACTATCGTCCAATTTCACTTCTGCCAGTCATGCCGAAAATCGCTGAGCGTGTCGTGTGCACCCAATTAACCCACTATCTCAAAGAAAATGACTTACTAGGTAACAGCCAGTACGCTTACCGCAAGGGCCATTCAACGGAAGACGCCATCCTCGAGACCATTGCCTGGACTACTGATCAAATCGATAGGGGCCACATTGCTTCAATAACAGCAATAGACCTGAGCAAAGCGTTCGACAGCGTCAATCATGAAATTCTTTTGATGAAACTAGCGTGGCACGGCGTCCCATCACACTGGTTTAAAAGTTATCTGAGCGGCCGTGGTCAAATGGTTCGAGGTGGTTCTGAGGTTCTTCCCGTGAAATTCGGTGTCCCACAAGGATCAATCCTGGGACCTGTTCTCTTCAGTCTAGTCACAGCTGACCTACCAAATTGTATACCTCATGGCCGCGTTATATGCTATGCAGATGACACTCAGCTTTTGGACAGCTCGCCGACAGACAGCGAAAGTCTCATCCAGTTCAAAAGGCGTTTGGAATCTTCAATGGCCTCAGTGCAGACATGGTTCACTACCAACTCATTTAAAATGAACGTAGCCAAAACAGATTTCATTCTAATCGGCACATCATCAGCTTTGCAGAGAGTCTCTGATTTCAAACTTAACTTTTGTGAAAGTTCGCTTGAACCTTCAGACAACATTAAAGTATTGGGAGTGAAAATAGACCAAACGTTATCCTGGCAAAAACACGTTACAGAAGTTTTACGACGCTGCTACTCTATTCTATCGTCCTTAAACAGGTTCCGGCGTCACTTTTCTGCTGAGGCTCTTATTCTGATTATCCAGGCACACGTCTTTTCCCAGATATTGTACTGCTTGCCAGTTTGGGGTGGGGCCTGCAAAAACCAAATATCTCGCGTTCAGAAAGTAATAAACTTCGCAGCCCGTGTAGTAACCGGAACACGCCGCCATGAGCACATCACACCCACCCTAAGTGCGCTTCAGTGGCCAACAATTGAGGAGCTCATCAAGGAGCGTGATTGTTTAAAAGTATTTCGCGCTTTGAATAACTGCGACGCCCCCAAAGCTCTAAAAAGGATGTTTCACCAAAGATCAGACATAACCACTCGAGTGACCCGCCTGGCATGTACCAATCTGCTCCACCTTCCAAAAGTGCGTCTGTCTATTACACAACGATCTTTCCCGTACCGAGCCGCAACTGAATGGAATCGACTTCCAATAGAAACTACACAAACAGCGTCAGAAAAAGAATTCAGGAAAAAACTTAGGTGCAAAAACGCGTGAACCATACCAGCTCACTTGCTCAGGGATAGTATCACGGATCGCGTATACTGTGTAATGTGTAGTGTGTACTCTATGCCTTGCTGTGCGCCATGTAGTGTATGTTACCGTACGTTGGCACCTTACCGTGTACATCTGTGTGGAAATTTGTGTTTACATTACTGCCGTGTACATCTCTACCATGTTTAAAATGTCCTGAAAAACTGTGGGAACACGGACGGACATTTAATGTTAATACAATGTTAATACAATGTTAATACAATACAATTTATTACTGGATTTACTAGGAATTCCCCATACATACTCAAAAATGTATATTCTTTCGTATAGTGAAGATAAAAGGACGTGAAGATATAGTTGCGTGATAATGTTTTCGTTGAATTTTTGGCTTCATGATGCATTTCCACACGGCTCAAAATTCACCGCAAAATACCGTTTGCCTGAGACACTTTTACTATGGAACTTGAATGCTTGACTACGATGACTATGTATTTACATTCTCGCAGAGTTTGGGATATCACTAATCAGCAATCATTCATTTCAGAAAGTGTACACAAGCAAGCATGTCTTGACTCTGTCTTTCAAGGTCACGCGCGGTTGCGTGATGTTGATGCATGAAAACGGCGTTTGCCGCGAGAGTTATGAATGGCCCACTCCAATTTTTTCACAGATAGTTAGGAACATTGTGACGGACATAATATGTAAAAATTACCCGAATCGAAGGTGACGTGTTTTTTGCTATTTAAATTTTTTCTGTTTTAGTTCAAGGTCAAATGCATTTCAATGTCACTTCAATTTAATTTTATAATTAAAAATCAAAGCCTCATCAATTGCCTACGAGACTCTGTTAATATCATTTTGATACCAGAAAAGGAACCAGAGTTTTAGACATTTAAAAAATTGATGTGTGGCATTTTTGGATATATTCGATGACCTATATCTCAGCGATACTTTATCAAATTTCGAAAATATTATACGTAACTCAGTTTTGAACCATGCCCAGTCTGCCTACAAATTTTCAGAAAAATCGAAGGGGATGACGGATTTCGGTGTTTGATTTGACGTGGAATGCCCCAGAAGGCCCATGGAGCGGGAGAAGTTCCAAATGTCACGTGACTAATATGCCCTCCGGCGCCCTGTTTTCACCGGCGTCCCCTCTCACCTGCGTCCTTCCCACCTGCTCCGCTATCTCCAGCGTCTAGCCCGCGGTCACCGGCAGAGGCGCCTCCAGCCGCAGCCGCGGGAGTCGAGGCAGAGGCGCCGCCAGCCGGGGCAGTCTCGGAGTTTTTGATGAGCGACTCTAGCTGGTTGTCTGGTCCGACGATCTTGATGAGGTCTTCGATGCTGCCGATGAGTCGTGTTGGTGCCTTTTCTGAGACACGAACTTTCAGCTTGCAGCCGTCCGTCCAGGCGTGGCACAGCTTGCCCTTGGCTCTTATCTGGCGCGCCGCGAACATGGTAGTGGCGTTCTGAGCTGTAAGCTGCCCCGAGACTGTAAGCCCCACGACCTTGACGGGTACGCAATGCGGCCTGGCAATGGTCCTTTTCCTTTGCAATGCTACGCATTAGAGAGCAAATGGACGTGAAAGGCCATTCAAGCCACCGTGGCAGGTAGTAGGTGTAATTGTCACGAAACTTACTTATCTGTTCATACCATTTTGTGATACGCTCATATAGATTTTTCTGTCTCCGTCAGCTAAACGTTTTCTCTCTTTGTTATGGTCGCTTCGGTTCCTCCCTGGGGGAGGGAAGATAATGTGGGACCGATTCCCTTCTTCCATATCATGATAAAGAAGATACACGTTCAAGCTTTGTTACATAGAAATAGCCGTCACTTTCCCCACGTGTCGGCACCGTCCAGCAACCCAGTGGGTCAACGGACTGCTCCTCCATTTCGCAATCACATTGCACGTAACGCACGCGCACTGGCGAACCTTAATCAGAGTTGCAATACAAGTCTCGGCCCGCTCAGTCGTCTCTCTTATCCGCGCCTCCGCGACAATGGTCTATCGACGCTTCTTGATCGGAGTGGTGTTGGGTGTCATTTTCTTTTGTCATTTTAGGTAATGTAAATCATTTATATTATGCTGATGACATGGTCCTGCTATCCCCTTCATCATATGGACTGCAGAAAATGTTGAATGTCTGTGATTCCTATGCAAATGAACATGATATCAAATTCAACACTTAAAAGACTGTTTGCTTGAAAATATGTCCTAAGTTATTTCGTGATCTCTATGTTCCTACTATCACGCTTGGTGGCTGTGCTTTGAAATTCGTTCATTCTTACAAGTATCTTAGTTATCATCTAAGCAATGTGGGCTCTAGAGCTGATGACTTAGAAATCCGGCAGCAATACCGCAATCTTTGTTGCCTTGCTAATACGATCAGTCGCAAATTTGCCATATGTTCATACTCGGTTAAGAAATATTTGTATGATGGCTATTGTTCAAATGTCAGTTGCATGCATTTGTGGCACTCCTTTCATGTGTCTGTTCTGAAGGAATATAAAGTGTGCTCTAACAATGCTGCTACGATGTTATTTGGCTATGACAGGTTCTGCAGTGCTTCGAACACTTTAGCTCAAGAATGCCTGCCCGACTTCGATGCCTTGTGCCGAAAATCAGTGTTGAACTTTATGATGCGCCTTCAGTGTTTCTCTAATCAAATCATATTTAGATTGTTCAACATTGACCTGGCTGTGACTTCCTCGATAAGGAAGGCATGGCGGCGATGTCTGTATTTAAGTTGAGGGTCTTATGACCTCTCATGATTCTTTATGAACCTAGAGTCTGCTAATAAAGGGATGCTGTCTCTGTCTCTGTCTCTGTCTCTGTCTCAGTGCTCTCTCTCTCTGTCTCTGTCTCTCTCTGTCTCTCTCTCTCTGTCTCTGTCTCTGTCTCTGTCTCTGTCTCTGTCTCTCTCTCTCCCTCTCTCTCCCTCTCTCTCTCTCTCTCTCTCTCTCTCTCTCTCTCTCTCTCTCTCTCTCTCTCTCTCTCTCTCTACTCTCTCTCAATAACGTTACTTCCAGTGTCGGTGTGTACGCGCTGTGTGTGTGACGGCGGCGATTTGTGGCAGGTCTGCAGCGCAGAGCTGACGGAGCCTGTCGACTTTGAGGAGTTTCTCGAGTCGCACCAGCTGGAGCTGGCCTCTGACGAGCTGCGCGACCTGCTGGACGCGCCTCCCGATGACATCGACGTGGGCCTGGTGCAGCGCCGCTACCGGACCGTGCGGCCGCTGGCGCCCGACAAGCACGAGATCGGGTGAGTGTCGGCGGTCAGCGCTCCAGCCGGCACGGCACAGGCGCAACGTCATTACATGCTCAAGAGAAACGAAATATACCTTTCGAAAGCTGACGGTGAGCTGATTCCAAAAATGTAATTTTTACAAAAAATCGGTAGTTGGTCTTTTTTCAAAATTGCGGTTTTGTGAAAATGGTATAGTTTTGTATTCAACGCCATGTCCCGGGCATTTTTGACATCATATGCATTTTTTCGTGTCCCAGTGTAAGCTGAATGCCACAAGAACAATATTTAGCGAAACATTATTTTCAAACACTAACTGTCGCCCGTATTGGTGGCTTGCCAGCCGCGAACGTATAAGGGGGGGGGGGGGGCTCCGTTGGACCTCCCTTGCCGTTTGGCCCCCGATCGAGCTAGAACTACGCGGAAAAAACGAGCGTGTTGCCCTGACGAGAGGAAGTAGCTGATGATACCCAATTTAAGGGTCTTTGGTTGACCTTCCAGGTCAGGTCAATGACCCAAAAGTCGCAAAAATCCTGACCCGTTAGAACGTCGTAAAGTGTGGTTGCTACGGGGTTTTCTGGGTGCTGATCACGAATGTCGTGTTAGTTTTGATCATATAATGTCCTCATGCATTTAGGCCAGGCCAGGTCGGGTGAGGTCAGGTCAGGTCAACCAGTAGGGGTCCTGCCGGGTATTCGTAATGCTTGTCAACCGCGTCTAGCAGGCTCTTAACTTGTTACGAAGGCACCATAACTATTTCGCAAATGTTCAAATGGCTGCTAAATGGGAATTCAGCTAAAAAAACTGGCCTAGAAACATGTCAAACACGAAAAAGTGAACCGAGGTCATCAAAGGTCAATGACCTGATCTGAGCTTCAGGTGACCTTGATGCCCATCCTAATGCATTGGATCGACATCATATCACATTTTGAACGCTTGAAACCATGAAAAGACTGCAAACGCGCGGCTAATGGGAGCCGCCATACGCCGAATCGCGATTCTGGCCAAACATGATTTCGAAGAAATAGGTAACAGGTCAAGGTCATAGCGGGCAGGATCATTAAATTTTAAGGGTAGGTGTAAAATTGATAAACTCGAGGGTACTGAAAGTTTCTCCGCTATCAGCCGCTTTTTACGCGAGTTAGTGGCGAAAAACCGAGGGGGGTTCTGTTCGACCCCCCCCCCCCCCTATAGGGCTGATCATGCATCTCCCACAGCCGACAATAAGGCGCAATCACACAACTCCGTCTCACGATGGACCAAAGTCAGCCACAGAGAAGCGTGAAATGACCCTTATCGACTCGCAGACCCGGCGCTTTCGGCTGTCTGACGGGCCACGGAAGGGATGTTCGGCTGTCGTTCTACTAAACGGACGTCATATTTGTTAGTTGAACGATTCAAGTCGCTACTTGAGCTATTCACGATACCTGCGTAGAAGATTCATTGTTCTGTCATGTTCACATCATGTATGAATTGGCATTTGTTTATGTCTACTTTACTCAATTCAGCTAGCTGTTATGCCTAGTGATGTCAGTTACGGAAAATCGGAATACCGATACCAAACCAAATACCAACCAAAACCGTGGAGAAATACCGAAACCAAACCAACTTGGGAACATGAGGGAAATACCAACTTTTTACCGATTTCTTAGCCTCTTATACATTAGAAGGGGTTCATGATACCAACAAAATATCAAACACATTATGATTGAAATACCAAATGCCAAGTTGGTATCGGTTTGGTATCGGTATACCAAAAGTCGGTATCCGATTGACATCTCTAGTTATGCCCATATAAGAAAAGTTGGCACCGCTGAACTGTCAGAGGTTGCACCGGTCTCAGCTAGGCTGGAGTGGGGTAGCGCCGGGTGGGGCAGGGTAACCTTTGACCGGTCGCACGGCCGAACAGCTGTCGCTAGTACAGTCTCTGACAGGAAACCCCGCTAACTTTCCCAGTGCGGGCATCGAACGCAGCTGGATGGAGCAAAACATGTATAAGAAAATGTGCCTACATGTAAATTAATGCATGTCGAGCAGAATCGAGCAGAACAACGCATTTTCTTCATATCATAGGTATCCTGAATAACTTTGATAGCAATGTGGACTGTTAAAGGTAGTGTGCCAGCTTTCCTGGACCGTATGGAGTTAATGGCCCAGATAAGGAGAACCGGATTTTTAGAACTTATCCATACCTTCAAAACTCATGGAAACGTCTTAAATTCTTCAAATTTTGAGTACCCCAGTGCGAAATTCGCCCCGACGGGTTGTCGGTCGTACCCCAACCACATTTCACACCACTATGAACAGTAAATGCACACACTGAAATCGCTATTACCGATAGGCTCATCCAATCAAGTTTCGATAAACCCGTTCATCATCATCTCCTGCGGTTTCGAACACGCCCGTTAGGTGGCGCGGTAGACCGCGCCCAAAGCCAGGGCCCCGGTAACGTGAGGTAGCCGAGTCGGGGGCTCGGGGCAGCGTGCGCTGACCCAAGCCGGGGCCGCGCGTCCTCCCGGTGTCATGTGATAGCCCGGGGCTGCCTGCGGGGATGCGGTAGACCGCGCCCAAAACCGCGGCCCCGGCTTGGGTCAGCGCACGCTGCCCCGACTCGGCTACCTCACGTTACCGGGGCCCTGGCTTTGGGCGCGGCTTCTGCTCATACTTTGTGGTGCGGTGGTGGTGCGTCGGGCCGCGCGCTCTGACTTCGGCCAAGAGAAATGCGTCAGCTGATCATTGTCATTTCTGCCACTTGCGTGTGGTGAAATGGGGTCATAACTTAAGAGACGGCTTTTTCATATCAATTATTTTACATAAAATCATGTTTCAAACCATAAATAATGTTCGACAGCCAAATAAAAGAAACAATACCAATACAGGCTTACAGTTTAAGGTTCGACATTGTGTTGTCTACGATTAGACAGCTGATAACTCATTCCCGTACGTCGTAACTCTATAATGACCTTTGCTTATTGTCACATGTGCGCCGCATTCGCGATTGTTGCCGACGCCTGTTTGCAGGTCAGCCCACTTCAGTAGTTATACATATCGAAAAACCGATAAACTTTTAGGCGAAAAAGGCACTATTCCAGGCCCATTTTTGATTTTTTTGCGATATTAGGTAAAAACAGAAGCTTCTTATCCTAGGAAAAATAAAATGGGAAATCATTGGAAGGTGGCACACTACCTTTAAACTAACAAAGATGACACTTGTTTAGTAGAACGAGAGCCGAACGTTCTTTCCGCGGCCGGTCAGGCGGGCCGAGAGTGCCGGGCTTCGAGTCGATAAGGGTCATTTCACGCTTTGTGTGGCTGACTGGTCCATTGTGAGACTGAACTGTGCGATTGCGGCTTTTCGTCAGCTGTGGGAGACGGATATTATCATTTGGGAATATTTTTTTCACTGCACATTGTTCTTTTGGCGTTCAGTTTTCACTGGGACTCGAAAAAAAACATGCCTATGCTTTTAAGAATGCCCGGGACTCTAAAAAAAGTCAATAAAAATAGAAAATTGATAGATGAATAAAGAATTATACGGTAGAATCCGCTTAATAAATCCTCGGATGATAAATCCAGCCGCTTATTGTGGCCGCTTGAGTTCACGGATTTTTATATAGATACCCACCCATCTACTATTATAAATCTTAAAAAGTCCGCCCACGCCGCCGTCGGGGTTACGCAGGAGGGGTTACGCCCAAAAACGCCTATTGCGGCGCCGTCGATTGACGCACGAGGGTGAAATTTTCACGACTCGTGGGTCACGTAATTCAACAGGTTGTATTAAATTTTGGGCACGATGTGGCCGGGGGTGCGCCCGTGGCGCGTGCTCATGTGCGCCATAGGGTTAGCATTAGAATCGCGACCGGCGCCGAGCAGAGGGCATGTGCTTTAGGCTCAGTTGTTCGCTTAAAAAACTGAGTGGAAATAATCAGAGCCGGCAGGTCATCAGGGGCGGTCGCAGACTTGGCGTTTGGGGGGGGGGGCAACTTGGCAAAGGGGCCCCTGCACTGACCCGGGGGCCCGGTGCTAGCTTAAAGGGGCCCACGGGCGTAGCGCATGAGTGCGGAAATCCAGCCATGGCCGGTGAAGCGGGGGGGGGGGGGGGTAGGGAGCGGCACCCGAGCGGAGGCTCATTGCCAGCTTTGAGGGTGTACTATGTCGAAAAGGTAAGTTCATTTTGAAGCATTGGTAATGTCAATAATTCACGCAACTGTGAATTGACTACCGCAAAAAGTAAAACCGGCTAACTTAGCCATTTTGAAGATATCGTGCTAAGGCTGGGGGGATCCATGTGATCGCAAGGCACATCGCAGTTGCGATCAAACGTAAGTTGAATCGGAACAGATATTGGAGGGATCCATCACATCGTAGGCTAAGTAGATACGCAAGTTGTATCGCAAATGCTGAAGATACGAACTAACTTTACGAATCTTCTCGGTCGATCGGAAGGCCGATCGTAGCAAAACTTTACCTCTTTCTCAAGAAAAAAATATAAGAAATTTTCAAAATTTTCACAAAACCGAAATATATGTTAAACAAATATGGTTGATGAACACGTGTGCAAAATTTGAAGTCGATTTCTTCAAAAATGGCTGCGCTAGAGCGTTTTAAATTTACACGTTGAAAACGGTCACTTTCACGTCATTTTTGTAATTACTTTTTTCAATTTTGAAATTTAAATGTTTCGGGCAATTTTTCGCGTTAATTGCGAAAATCTGACCAAAACATGTATCGCACCATCAATGATCCGATACGCCATCAGAGGCCGCGCCGCGGACAGGTGGGCGCGGCGATACCTCAACCTAGGCCGCGTGGGGGTTACACTGGTGTTCGGGAAGGGTATGTCAACGCGAGGCAGGCCGCGGGGGAGCCGGTTGCGGCGCCGCGCCGGTCCGTATTTGTCGGCGCCTAACAGTGCAGCGGTGCGTTTATGGCGGAGGGAGGGGAAGCGGTGTAGTGTCGGCAAGGCCGCACACAGGAGAGGGCACACGGGCCTCCCCCCCCCATTCGAGTTGGGG